CCACACCATAGGTGTCGGTGTCGCAATATCTGGGTCCATTTGTAGTTTTTAATCATCTGCTGAAGCTTTAACCACAAGTCGCACTTTGAGATCATCCTCACAGGTCAGTTGATGGGAAATTGATCTGACGGCAAGTCGATGACAAACGGCGAGAGTAAGAAGGGGCTTGGAACGGAGTCTACTGGTACTCACCTAAGGCCTCATATCACCGAGAGTAAGAAGATGTAACCTTCTCGGAGGACGACCTCCCCTTCGGGGGGTCTTCGATCCGCCTGGACAACGGTTGTGTCACTGTGGGCCGTTTCATATTGGTGGGCCCCAGTCTGGGCGGACTAGATCTACTGTAAGGCACTTGCTGACTTATGGTCCATGGTCGGCCAAGCCCGGTTTGTCATCGGTTTTTTGACCACTGTCCGGAATCCAGGTCTGCGCTCGAGCCAGTGGATCCACAAGCGACAACGCGGCGGATGGATAAGGGGCGGGCTGATTCCCGTCACCAGTCATTCAGTCGGAAAACAATCAAATTATTGCAAGTACTGGCCAGTTAGTTTATATTGCAAAGATCAGCGATAGTAACCCCTTTTTCCTATATAGATGGTTTGTTCTGCGCTCATAAGCTGGGATGAGTTGAGTGTGGAAAAGCCGTCCCACTAAGTTGAGTGGGCGGACTTCAAACGTCAAACCTTTCGGAAACCGTGCTGCCGATTGTTGGGCTGTTTATCCCCGACAATGTGTTACGCCTCTTCGGCAGCACTGAGCGGTTTCTTCACTTTTCCAACTTTAAAAGTTGGCCCGACTGAGCGTTAGTTCACTGCTGCCACTTTGCCTTCGTCCCTTGAAAGTGAGAACATCTGCGGGTTTCTTCTGCTCAACTGGGGGCTGACTCCAATCCGATGGGTTGTCATTAAACTTAGTTTTCGGAGAAGCTGCAACTTCGGAAAGCTCCAACAGCATTGATGGGGCCCGGGTGGGTCTGAGGGCCACTCAAACCAGAGGGTTCGTGTAACATTAGTGAACTATACCAGCACGGATGCGAGCTTTGACAAGGTTAAGTCACTCCGGGGTCATCTAAGAAGTCGGTCGCACCTCTGAGGAGCATAATGTAGCATAATGCCAAGACAGTAACTGCACCTTCATTCTTTTTGAGTCCCCCGGTACTTAATCACCAAGATACGTAAGAATACCTGGACGAATCTTGCCCCTGCAATGCGAGTATGCAAACGGTCTTCATGGCGTTCTATCTGAGTCGGGTGCTGGTCACTCATAAAGGGAACACCTCTGAGATTTCCGTCATTGAACTCATGAGTCCTTTGTCATTGTTTGTACTCGTCACCGGTAGTCTGAAGTTACCGTCATACCTGTTTGCCTTGGCGAAGCAGATTCAGTAATTCCCCGTCAAGCCTGGATGGGCCATTAGCATGCAGGCTGGTAGTTTGTGGTGGTGCGAGGAGGTTCACCGGGTCCTTGGTGACTGATCGGAAAGTATTCCCATACTTAGCAGTTCCATCGCAGATAATAGCTTCCTGTTTGAGCTCACACGGTTGAGGAGAAAAATAGCTTACGGATACCGCTGGCAACCGCAACCACGAGTCGAGTGATGCCTCGCTGATAGTCGGGAAGCCGAAGTCAAGCCACCGACAGGTTTATGCAAGCCTGCAGCTAAAAGAGTGCAGAGCAAGGAAATATCAAACGGGACTCAGAAAAGTTCAGGCCCTACTGGCGGTTGAATCAGGCATAGCTTGGTTCGGAGTGACGGAACTACGTGGGATGGAGACATAGAGGATGATAGCCAGAACGGACGCAGAGTGGCTGCGCAGCGGAAAAAAGCAGCCGTTTTTGAGCCCACCTGAAGGTATGAGGTAGATGCTGTGTCCTCAGCATGGTCCCTGATGAATGTGGTAGTCACGACAAATTTATGAAAACGGCGGGGCTGCTTGTGCCCGGTTGTGGGAGAGTTCGCCAACGGTAACGTTTGACGTACGCGCAGTAAAGAGCAGATAAAGTAGGATGCCCAGCCAGAGTGTTTCCGGGTCGGTTTTGGAGCATTCCGTACTGAGAAGGGACGAAAGCTACTTTATGATGTCCACGGGAAACCTGCCCGCAGCTGGGGTGAATGTGCTTTCAACCAAACCAAACGTGCTGCATTAGAACCTCTTTGGGGTTTACTCGCCAGGTAGGGGAAGCCGGCGGCAGAAGGTCTGGGATGCGATTTATGTAATAGATGGGCCCTTACCGACTGTTCTGGTATTGGTGAGGATGAGTATATTTATACTGCAAGGATAGCTGGGTCGAATGGGATGACGGCCTTTGTAAGGAGGCGGCAAAGTTGTCCCCTATTAAAAAGTCCAGGCTGGATGAGCTCCAGCCTCCTCCTGAAGACTGCAGAGGCGCCGAGCATAACAGCCGTTGCCTGGTGCACTGTCAAGTTTATATGAAAAGGTCTTGGGATGGCCCCGGAAGACAATCGTTGAAGTACTTAGAAACCGCGTGGACTGTTACCTTTTTGCAGCCACTTCCACTCCAACACGGCAAACCGCTACTGGTGAGGGGGTGACCCAGAAACGGAAGAAGAAAAAGCAAGGTGATTTAGAAGCCTTAATGCAAGAGGCGAAGGATGGAGCCTAGAACAGAGTGGAACCTAGATACCGGACTCCGGGGGCCCACCTTATAACCCTGATAGTGGGCCTAGTCAGCGGGATGGGCAACGAGTCGAAGACTACTGATTCTCATTCCGAGGGAGCCTTTCATACAGCAGTCCGGGCCATGAATCTCACAAAAGACCTATTTAAACTACAATGCTGTGCGCCGTTTTGCAAAAGTGATCACTTCTGCATTAAGACCACTCCGTGCCTGAGGCAATCTCGGGTTGCCGCAAGAATGGTTAGGGATTTCTGTGGTGCGGACAGAGATAAGCTACACACTGGGGCGGCAGAGTTCATGTGGGACGAGGTTGAGGAGAACACTACAGTGAAACGCTAGAATGTAACAAACGGATCACTAAATGCCCTCAAGGACGAGTTTGCGCTCCTGAAAAGAAGAAGTGGGAAGACAAACCAATGTGGTGGGAAAGCTGCAACAGGTCAAACCATCAAACTTAGGAGCCGCCTGAAACTTCACGAAGCTCATGGGAGTCAGCTATCCTGGATCAGCTATATAAAGGCCCGAAGTGAAACAGTGAGCCTCTTGCGAACAGCTAGGCGAGAGTTTATGCTTAAATTAGCCAAATGCGAGAGAAAACAGCCAAAGAAATTCTACAGTTGATTACACTCGAGAAGGTCAACAGAAGAAGGTACAGATCCACTGTCCACTGCGGACCACGGCATCGCCATCTATGACCAGAGCAAAGCAGATGCCCAGGGCGAATGTTTTGGCAGTGTACACGGAGTGGATAGTGTGGCACTAGTCGATTCCATGCTGGCGCTTCCTCCGTCGGAGTTAAAGGAACCAAATCTTTCGGAAGGTAACGTGTGGAAGGGTCTACAAGGGCTGACTATCCATAAGTCACCCGGTCCTGATGGTGTTCATCCAGATGTAATGAATCCCTTGGGTGTATGTCCAAGTAACCCCCAGTGGAACAACGCGTAGCCAGTTCAAAACGAATCTCGAAACCTGAACAAGATGATCCGTAGTTTCTTCCGTGATAAATTAAAAAACACACAGGGCGCAAATAAATACAAACCTCAAGTACGCTGCCAAGTAGATGCAGCCTTTAACAGACCTTTCACGTATGGATAAGCGGAAATTCATTCTTCTTGACACGGCGCAGGCAGCTTTTACCTTGTTCGAGGGAGCTAGCGGCAACATAGCACTCCATTCACCTCCCGATTCCTCCGCTCCCCTGGCATTAGTCAAATGTGTTTCGGACATCGCTGTTGGAGCACAGTTGCAGCAATTCATCAGCAATTCATGGCAACCAATGGCTTTTATCTCCAAGTGTTTTCAGTTTGTGGAATCCCGGTATAGATCGTTCAGCAGAGGGCTACTGGTAATCCACTGGAGCATCCGATACTTCCGGCATACACTTGAGGGCCAAAAGTTCACAGCTTTCACAGATCATGATCCACTAGTGCTGGCCCTCCAGTCAGCTTTTGACCGATATCCGCCACTCGAGATTCGCCACTGGGACCATGTATCGCAGTTTACTACGGACATTGGGCACATCTCTGAGGCACCCAATCCCGTAGCAGACGCCCTTTCCCGCGTCCACAATATCGATGACCCACTACCCATGAGTATTGAACTAAAGGCAGTCGCAGCAGCAAAAATAGCAGATTCTGAATTCCAGCAGTTTAGAAACAGTGTCAGTGACCCTTCAAACTTCGGACCCAACTATTATTTGCGATGTGCCACAGAGTCGACACCGACAACTAGTTCCTGCCAGTTTTCGCCGGCACGTTTTATAAGCTACTACAACTTATCGCACCCTGGTGTGATGGCCTCATTGAAATTACTCACCGAACAATTAGTCTGGCCTTGCGTCAAGAGTGACGCACTTCTCTTGGCCCGCGCTTGTCTTCAACGCCAACGCGTTTAAACACATCGTCACACTACATCCACGTTAGGCACATTCTGTGAGCCGGAAGCACACTTCCATCATGTGCATGTGGATCTCGTGGGGCCCACTCCACCCTCCACTGGCTGCATCTACATCCTCACTTGTGTAGATCGTTTCGCTTGCTGGCCACAGGCCATACCTATTCCAATCCTATCTCAAAGAAAGCTGCAAAAGCGCTTCTAGCTGTTCGGGCAAGTTATTTCGGCTGCCCTGCTATGGTGACCACTGACCGTGGTTCTCATTTTGACGGTGCCCTCGACGAACTACTGATAGCATTCGGTTGGAGACACAACAAGAGGACGGCCTTTCATCCTCAGGATAATGGCATGGGGGGGGGCGATTCCATCACCAACTGAAAGCTGCCCTTCGCGCTCGTGATCACCTTTTATGCGGTGAAGTTTTACCGATCGTTCTCTCAGGACAGCGTAATACCGGAAAAACCGACATGGGTGTTGTGGCGGCTGGACTGATTTACGTTTGCACGTTAGGATTTCCCTGGTGAGTTGGTTACTCCGCTACCACCCGGGAGTTTTGATTACGGGGATTACCCCAAATGGTGATTGCACCAAATGCTGGTTCTAAAGACAACCCCTCCACGAGAACAAACTCTCAGCACCTACAAACCTACCACTCTAGCGACCGCCAGCCATGTGTTTATTCGAGTGGATGCAGTGCGATCACCACTACAAGCGACTTGCTCTGGCCCGTTCAGCGTCATCCAGAAAAAGGAAAAGAAACACGTGGTAGACTTCGAAGGCAGGAAAGAGACCATCAGCAAAGACCGCCTTAAACCGACCTTCATCGAGGTAGGACCCATCCCGAACAATGTGCTCAATGTCCCCACCCGCTCACAACCTTCGGTTAGTCGTCCTGAGTCGGCACCTGCTACTCCCACTAACGACCTCCCACTACCTGTGGCAGCACCAATCTCCACGTAAGACGCAGCTGCAACCGTCAACGAGAGAAATCGAAGCGGCCGCAAGCAGCGACAGCCAACGAGGTTTTCTAAATATGTAACAGTTGTATATACTCAGGTTTACCCCTCATATTTCACTCGTACTTCGTCTTATCATACATGAATGCACGACCAAGTAGTTATCACGACAAGGGTAGCGGCAGCCTGTATTGCGCTGGTATGTCTCCCACAGTCGAATGTCCGATCGCGCCCCGAGTCGCAGCTTCCTTGTATTTCTTGCCTTCCAGCTCGTCCCGTCAGACAAAACCATACGGAATCCCAGGATCTCGCATGGCTCAAACATAACACTCACTGGATCTTGACTGGTCTCACTTGACTCCAGATGCTGACTCGTTTATAAAGGCAATAACAACCACAGGCAAACGGAACTTTGGGATATGCCGACAACGACAAAACCTACAACACAATCACCACTGCCAAGTCACAAGCAGGATCTACCCCGGTCGGATGAAATGTTGAGGAGGACCCAATTTTGCGATCAAAGCACAGCCACCAGTGCGAGTCATGAAGAAAGGCTTATGTTGGCTTCGTTGTTCTGTTTGATCGCTGCAGGAGGTATGGAAAACCTCTCTCTCCACCGAAGCCGAAGTACCCATCACGGTCTGAAGCCCGACTGCGCCGGCCTTCTAGGGGGAGACCTCCGTAGTGCTTCCGTACAGCACACGACTACAAAAACCAACAAAATAGCTTGTTCAAACAATTACCGAATTTGTTGGAGCCACCTGCTTCGCCTGTATACACCGTCTGCCCGCCGTGGTGCTCCTCCAATATACACGTTGCCCCGCTCCAGCGTTCTGAGTTCTGCTCTCTTTCGCGCTGCCAATTATATTCTCTAACCGAGGACCAGGGACTACAGACCTATACGGGAGCAGGTCTTGAGTTAACTTAGAAGAATCATGAACTCCTACGCACCCACACACATATCGAATACATAGAACACGCACGTACCACTAGTCCCCAGCTTGATTACCTAAGGCTTTTCGCGTGGCGAAAGACGGGCTGCGCGATGCCATGCAGGGGTCCTCTCCATTATTACTCCCCTTTGAATGGCGTCCGCAGGTGGATTGTGTGCAAAGGTAGTCTCAGCTAATTGCATGAAATGAGAGGTATCTAAGGTACACTGTAGCGTGAGTGTTAGCAAGAGACCTGCGGGTGGCCCGGGGAGATGACATTAGTCAGTACAGGAGAGTCTGGTTATCATCCCCACTAACAGATGGAGCTAGGACTGGGTAGAGCCCTAGGTTGAAACAGTGAAGATGCCGCGCTATATACCGGGAAAACGGAGTCCTCATTATGCTTCCTAGCCCTGTTTCCTCTATAGATTTCTACGAACACATTAGAAAACGCAGGTTTCAACCAAACCTTTATATTATTCGAAGACCCATGGTATGTCTCACATGTGGACAGGCGCCCAACCTATAATAGTGTGAGGTTGACGCTTCCGAGGTTGAGCCTGTTTCTTTTCCTTCCCCTGAGCTACTACAAATACCAAATGGTATTGGATACCTGGAAATTGCAGCGCAGCTGGTACTCCTTTGGCTGGCAGCGCAGTAAACTGGATTTTTACTGGCTCAAGCGGCAAGTCCTGTGACTTGGCATGACCAAAGGAATTCCTCTCCCACAGGAGGTTTTACGTCAAAGTGGGGGACAGGGCCTCCAGTTTGGTGGAAGTCACCAGTTGTGTGCCTCAGGGATCAACCCTAGGCCCGGCCCTATTCTTGTTATTTAATAATGACCTGGCATCCTCTCTTCAGTCGCCCAGCTTTATTTTTGCGGATGATGTGAAGATTGTTGGATCTGAGGATAGGGCGGACTTGGGTAGGAAAATAGGTATTGTCCGGGACTGGGCATACAAGTGGGACCTACCTCTGAAAGCTAAAAAAGCCATTTGTTGTCAAGGTCAAAACTAAGCGTAACTGTCACTCATGACCAAGAGCTGTTCACCATAGAAACAGTCAGTAAGGTTAAAGACCTTAGGGTCATCATGAACAGTGACTTCATATGGTGGGAGCAGTGCAACGGTGCTGCGCGAAAGGCTCGTGGGGAGCTCTTAAGGCTGCGATCAGCTTTGCCTTGCCGGCAGCCGGAGGTATTCGTACCTATTTCATGGCTATAGCACGACCTCACTCATAAGGTAGCGTGCAGGCTTGGTCACTCTTCTACAAAAAGGACGCCGCTTGCCTAGAGAAAGTCCTAAGTCTCGCCACGCGAATGGTTGAAAGGCAGAGGGGTAAGACTTGCAAGCAGAGATTCTGTGACCCGAACCTTTTCTCGTTAAAAAGGGGGAGACATCGAGGGGATCTCATAGAAACGTTCAAGGTAATGAAGGGCTTTTCTGGCCTTAGACCAGATAATCTATTCCAAGTGGCCGTAGATTCCAGAACAAGGGGACATGAAAAGAAACTGATAAAAGCCCGAGCTAGGTCGATGGCTAGATCGCACTTCTTCAGCAACAGGGTTGTGAACAGTTGGAACGGTCTGCCCGTTGGAATGATAGATCTGCAGACCGCCCTAGATCGCAAGTGGTACGAGATATTTCCTCGTAGTGAGCCTTGAGTATATCAACTAGATGGACGATGGGTAGCACTGTGGTCTCTCCGGAGTATGTTTTAATAGACTTTTTCGCTCATCGCATACTGCCTCAGTGAACGCTCACGATGCGCAATGTCTCTCGCAGTTGATGTACGATGAGGTTTTCCGTTTCCCTCTCATTTTTAGCTGGGATTCGGTGAAATGCACTCGGCAGTGGTGGGTGCATAACTGGTGCGCATACCATCGAAGGAATTGTGGAAGCTTGATTGTCCGTGGCCATTACCTGTCCTGTGCAAACTGAACTGGACTGGACTGAACCGAACCTGACTTGACCTGGATACGAGACCGTATCATCATCGGGTTCAGGGACTAAGGGCATATATAAACCCCCGAGAACTTTTATCCAACACTGAGCTGCCAACCTGACGACAGGATCCAGGCCATTCGAAAGCTATGGTTACCAGGCCTATCAATCCTCGTGAGTCAAGGCAACTGGACTGTTCGCGGCCTTGGGTTGCCGCGCGGTCCGTCCGAAATTTTCACTGATTTGTGATCTCACCAGTTCGTGGGACAGAATTACAGGGTTTCCCCTTTTCTATTCCGAAAAGCTTGCCGATGGGCTGACCCTTGAAGTCTCGAAATGCGTGCTTGATGATTGAAGTATAATTTTTAGCCTTCCGACCTGGCTTCTATTCACTCATACTATTTTTCTAAATTTTACGATTTTGTTCAAAAGCTTTCTTTTGTAATTGCGTGCAACGCTGAAGCATCTAGACCCAGTTCCGTACTTGCGAGTCGTAGGTTTTGCAGTATGCTGCAAGACTGTCTTCCAATACGTTACTGGAATTCAGAGAGGAAAGTAGGGAGACAGACATTGTATTTTTTCTGCTTCGTTGGTGGTGCGCTGAAGTTTCGGTTTTCTTCCGCCGAAACATCTTAAGTTTAATTCAAGGTTGTTAACATCGGTTCTGGTTTAATCGATTTTTCGTATCACTGCTTTGTTTCCGTCGCACTTTTAATTACCAATTCCAATCCAGTTTGTTTTAGTCTTGAATCTACATCTGCATACATCTAACTTTCATCGCCAATAGATACTTTGCATAAAGCTGCTTAATTCTTTTACTTCCTTAATCAGTAAACTAATCGATGAGTATGTTGTATTTTTAGGCTTTGTGTGTGTTCGATGTGCATAATTAACATCTGCCAGCCAACATGTCCGTCGTGGGTACCCTTAACGCGGACACAAGTCGATTCGTCGATCGTGTGTTGGTTTCACGTAAATCCAGTAGTGGGAAATCTTCAATAAACAGCAACCACAATGGTTCGGTCGCTATCAGTACCTCCTCAGTGACATCGTACACAACAACTAGCTCATCTCCGAAAGCTGGAAACGGCACTGCATCGTCCCTGCACGTGAGCAGTCACACATTGGACAAAGTCAAAGTTGCAAAAATCACTCTTGAGCACTATTATCACAACTTGGTCCAACAATACCGCGAACGACAAAACAGGTACGTATCTCTCCATTCGAATTATGTTGGGGTTTCCTTAGGTCCACTGATTGATGGCGAATTTCCGTTCAGCAGTTTTTATTAACGCTTTGACCGATGTTACACTATTCAACACAATACAACAGCTTGATAATAATCTAAGATCATATAGGCGCGATAGCGTGCAATGTAAGACTGGAAAAATATAAAAATTCGGCTTATATGTCACTCATGGCCATGTAAAACCGATTGTACTGTTTTGTTTGACACAGTCTGAAATCAGGCGGGTGTGTATCATATATATATATATATATATATATATATATATATATATATATATATATATAACCGAAATTGACTAGAGGATGGTTCCAGGTGGTCAGTCTATAATATGACGAAAGGTACACTAATCCTACTCACTAGGCTTGCCCACGTTGGCTTCCTGGTGAGGGTTCATGAAATTGACATGCCGATTAGTTGGCGATATAGCTAGACAATAGCCGTTGGCGTCGTTTTATCCTATCCCCTTTCGTCTATATAATCCCATTGATGGTAGCCGCTAATCTGCTGTCGCCCAGCTCGCTACCACGCCGGACCTATTGGAACCTTATGTGGTTGTCCACCACCCCAAGTCTAAGGGTCAGGTTACCGGTTATCCCTCAGGTAACACAGAGTGACAGTGCTCTTCCAAAGGGTATTATACGTGTTCATCCTGAAAAATACAACAGGAAGAAAAACTTCATGAGCCGAGGCTCAATAAACTCATCAACGCTAAATGAACATCAAAATAATGGCCTACAAGCTGGCCTTTACAATAATGGTGCATTGGGCATTTGAGGCTTTAGGGTGTACCCCTTCCATTAAACTGATGCACCAGCACGCAGCACATACCTTTCTTTCCTGTTTATTCTTTATGCCTTGATTTATTTCACGCTCATCTATCTTACACTCCCAGATATCAGTTAAACCCGGAGTCAATAGTCAAACAAACAGAAATTAACAAGATAATTTACGGTTAAATCATTTGGTTCTTGGTAGTTTTGAAACTTACATGATCATACAGTTCATTTCATTCGAGCTATAACAGCCATTAGCAACGTGTTGCGTATGACAAAACACACGTCTACCGTACCGTGCCCTGTTTTCCATTCCTCATCGGGAGTGGAGTGAATCACGTGGAGGTCAACAAATAACGTGACTACGGGGAATGAGAAAATGTACAGCGAACTAGGGGAAAGTAGGTTCTTCACGTCTTTGTGGTTGGGGTCCAAAAGATTCCTCAACCAGTTGGCTGGAAACACTGAGGGATATGGCAACCAACGGTGAACAGTGGCGATCGTGTTGTCGCTTTCTGTCGATTCAGAATGATCGATCAATGTGCGTTTGTACAGTTAGACTGTATTCCGTGTGTTGGTTACTACAATGTCCACACGCAACATGGCGAGAAAGGCAGTGGTCAGTAGGGTTTGCCCTGTTGTGTAACGTTGCGTGATGATGATGATGATGAACCGTTAGCCGCGAACGGCATTCGGCGGTTCCGGCTGCTGACCGTCAGAAAAGCCCGAACCATATGGTGAAACATTAGAAGTATGAAAATGGCGAGAAGAAGATTACAAGTGGCATATCCAGAATGTGCAGAAATAATGTGAATGAGAAAATGTAATTGGTCGCGACGTATCTCCTTATATCTCAAACCACTGAGGGGGCGAATCTCTCAGGGGTCCATCGCGTAAGCGTCACACGTCCCGAGTTGTCATCTGTATATTTTTCTCCCATGTCGTGGAATGCCTGTTTCTACTTATCTTGCCATTGCTACCCTTGACGGAAAATGAAAAATGGAAGAGTTCTAACGGTAATCATACGCTACTCACATCTCAGTCATCGTAGCTCAGTGAAACTTAGAGTAGTAGATTGCTTTTTATACTCAGCAGTTTGCTTATGTATTGTACTGCCGTGGCGGATGATGTTCCAGACATAGTTCAGTTCAGTTCATTCAACCATTAACCTCGCTTTTCTTCGCTTTATCAGCTGATGAGCCATCTTTATGGTTGAGAAAGCAAAAACCTCAATAAACCCCTATTCCAAGCATTTGAAGGCAAATGTCATGTGATGATTTTTCGGTTTACATTTGTAAACGTCAATGAGTAAGTATTGTAGTCCGAAAGACTATCAGTCTCCCTTCTACAATAAAACTGAACGCGATCAATCCACTGTCGTGCGGCTCGATACCATACCTAACCTGTTGGGATCTTATGTCGTTCTTCACTCCAAGTCTCAGGGTCTGGTTGCCGGTTATCCCTAATTGTGCAGTGGACCACTTCCATTGCACTCATGCGCTAGCCTGTAATGAAAATATATGAGAGCAGGTGAAGTCGTGCAGTTCATGGGAGATGTAAGACAGGTACTGCTAGTGTCCAACCTCTAAGCAAAGGAACGATTATGGTTCTCAACCAAAGCCTTCAGTTCTAACGTGAACCTGTCCGCGAGGCAGCAAAGTGGCTTAGTGGAAACCCGTCTATTTGGATCGACTATTCTTCCACTGATTTTATCGACCGAGTTACCAGCCCAAATCGACCCCCAACCTGGGGGACCTGGAAACTGCCTCGTCAGTTCTCTACCCATTAACCTTCCGGGTACGATTGAATCTTCGGCTTGAGTTAAGCCAACCTGTCTAACTCGTTGGGTCGCTGAGGCGTGAAAGCCGTCACACCACGTCAAGGTGCAGTCTCGTAGGTCTGTGGGTCCACTTCTTATCCACCTTGTATATTCATTCTTTCTGTTTCGACGTGCAACATGGTGAGAAATGCAATGGTCAGTGGGGCTTGCCCTGCTGTGTAATGCTGTAAGATGATGATGATGGTAATGACGAGGTCTACAACTTCCAGCACGCACCACGAGTTCCTGTTGTTGTTGTTTAAACAACGAAGGTTCTTACATACGGACATAGTTGGAGTGTGTTTTCTCTTATAACCGTGGTAGTACGTCTTCTCCCATGCATAGATCCAAACATTGTCTTTTTGTTTGTTTTCTCGGATAAACGTAACTGCAGAGAATGTGGTTTGTATTGTAATATTACGCGCCAAGATTTAGGTAACTAATCAGAAGAAACAAAGTTTTATGGTTTTCATGCAGGGCACATAAGAATATCAAGTGCAGCATGTAAAATATCACAAAGTCATTCAGTTTAATCCAAGTGACTCCCAAAAGTCCAATTGGAGAACATCTAGTCTGTTTGAATTTATTGGGCTGAAATAGCCATATATATTCATGATTAACGAGTTTAGTCATCCGCCCGGAGCCGTTATTCCCCTAGCTTTTTTGTTCTCCGCTTAGGCATGAATGTATGGATAGAAATGTAGTCCAGTATCTCAAAGACCCACTATTATTACAACCAGAAATCGTTTGTGTACCACATAAGTGTTTTAACGAGCCGGGCGACAGCGGGTTGTTGTCTGTCGCAATAATAGCCGGCTGTGGTATTTTCAAACCTTTCATTTTTGATTTGAGGAACGCTTACACGACTCGATCACAACTGAGCTTCTGCGTATTAGTTCTTGTGGACGGTTCTGTTTGGTCTTATCCGATTTAATTCCAGATGAATGTGATTCCAAGTGGTTTGTTTCTTGGTTTTTATATGTTTGCGAAATGAGCCAAAGGTATAATAAATTCTGTTTGGAAGTACCCGACAGTAAAACAGAAGTCAACTCGTGTTAATTAGACTCATATTCCCCTAATGTCCTTGGTGAGCTAGAATAAAGTCAATTCGGAAAAGAATTACTGCGGGACTGATTAGACGTAAAAACTCAAAAAGTCAGGTCAAGCCAAGGATGCACTTCGATATAACACGAAATCAGATTTCCGGTAAATTGTTTTCACCCAGGTGGCTGCAAACTGGTGGTGGTCGAGCGGTTTAGAGCTTTTGCTTACCACATCGGAGGTCCGAGGTTCGAATCCCCACCATCACGGGTTACTTTGATGGTAGGCAGTAATCTACTGTCTTTCGGATCGTTACCACACCTGACCTATTGGGACCTTATGTGGTTCTTCGCCACTCCTGATCTCAGGGTTTGGTTACCGGCTATACCCAGTAGTGTAGTGGGCCCTCGTGGCTATGGGGTATATACCCCTTCCACTGCACTCATGCGCACGCATGTAACAAAAAAGCTGATTAACTAGGGCTAATTACTACCCGTTTTTGCTCGACCTTCGTCTTTTGCATTTTTATTTCCGCATACGATAGTAGGCACTGAAGCTCCTTGGCACATACGTTTATTGAAAACAACAAACGAGATTTTAGAAACAAATTAAAGTCGACACAAATATTTGTCGCCTAATCCCTCCATGTCTTTAAAACGCTGTACTGCTAATGTAAATTCATGCTAGTGTTTGAAACTTTCTTATGCGTTGTTTTCGTTTTCTTTATTAGGTATAAAATTCTGGAGTCGATGATGGAGAGCGAAGGCCTCACCGAAGAACAAGTAAGTACAATCCAACAATGGTACGGCGAACCTGATTCCAGTGCCACAAAATTGGTTAATGCTATGAATTTTTATGTTATATTTCGGCATCTTTTACTCCTTTTAGTTTCCTGTTCTAAATGCTTTGGAATATCTTTGGGGCTCAGGTGTTTTCCAAGCCTTCTGCAAAGCACTTTTACCAATGATGTTGGTTCTTGACCAAATATCAGTTTAACCTACGATAATCCTCATCAGTGAGCTATTTGAAATTGATTTTTATGCTGGTTTCCCCATGCCGCTTTTTCCAGCCCTACCAAGGGCGTGCAAATGAAGCGCCGAAAGTAGACTAAAGGCAGCAACTTGCAGAAGATGTTTAATGCACTGGAGACTACATATTGGCAGCCTCGTTTTAATGGCGGTTATACTCACCCAGAACCCGAAAGCCTATCTCGACATTGCTTCACAGCACACCAATGATGCTTAAGGGAATACCGGTCAAATACTTTAAGCCATCTATCTTCCCCGATACGAGGCGTTCAGGTTGCACAAACGTGCGGTAAAACTGTGCTCTGCCATATTGTACACGTGTTCATTCTCAGTTCAGACCAATTCTCTCAGCCACTTATCTTGCGATTTTGTGCTCCGGTTTTGGTTTGTACTTCTCAGCATCGTCAAGTTCAGAACAAAATGAATAGAAACATAGAAATGGCTGGATGTAATGCCGGCTTCACAGCTGTAATGGGTTATCGAAAGCTGCTCTGGCGTTTGCCGTCTGTGATCTCATTTCTTGAACAGGATCATCCGCTTTGATAAATTTCAAAGGTACTTCTAGCTGATCACCGCAAAGGTTGATCACAGGTAAGCGCTCTTCCCAGAGGAGTAATCCCCATTTTGTAAGACACAGAATGCCTACAATTTTTTTTTTGATATATCAGTTCGCAGGAGGTCCGAATCATGTTTCATCGTCTGCGCCTTATCACTGCACAAGTTGGGCTAGTCAGCGTATCCTGACCCAAAACCAATCCCAGAGTGAAGTTGAGCTTCATCCTTTGCTAAACCAAGCAATGCGATTCTGAGCAAATCATCTACGGAAACAGTGAAGACAAATGGCGATACAGAGCAGTCGGAAGAAAATACGGAAAATTATTTTGTCATATATCCTAATTCCACAGCTCCCCATGAATCGAAACATACCCCCCTCATACTCCATTTTTGCCTTCTCTTTTATTCAACCTTTGTCTTCTGTCCTCAACAACCTCTCTTTACCCCATCTATCCACCCATAATGCTCCCACTAATAACACGCCCGGTTCTCGCAACGGTTCATTGTCATAAAGTGTCATAAATGATCCTCTGTCTTGTAACGCACATTTTCTCATGCCTCGTCAGTCTCTCAATCTCGGATCCTTTAACGTGCGTACACTAATGCAGGCCGGTTCGCAGGCAGGCCTAGCGCTCACTTTGGACCCTCTGGCGATTTAAGTCCGCTGCGTCGGTGAAACGCGTATCCAGGATTCGAGCTGCTGCTGCTCCTGCTGTCTCATCGAGGTATTTCCTGCGCACTTCAGGAGACGAAGTGGCTAGAGATGCCGGTTAATGTGGTGTAGGGGTTGTCTTCACTGCCAACTGCCCCTTTAGATTAGATCCCGGTTAACAGTCGTTCATGTGCTGTAAGACTCGAGAGGTCAGTTGGCGTTTGAAAGGATAGTTTTGTTAAAAGCAGTTTGTTTGTGATATCGGCATACGCTCCAACAGACTGAGTTCTGACACGTGGAAGGACGAGTTCTATAATGAATTCGCCACTCTTGTTCGCAGAAGCAAAAGCTTTGTCGTTCCGGTGTTAGCAGGTTATTTTAATGCAAATGTTTGCAAACTTAGTACGCCAGAAGCTTGTTTAGGTGGGCGTTCAGGTGTGGCCGCTCAGGCGATGCAAGTGGCAGCAGGTTTCGCCTGTGATCCTAGATCCGATGTCCATCAATGACACTGGATTTCTCAAGAGTCGATCAGTCTAGTACAGCAAAAACCTCAGCTCCCGAACTGTAAGGAGTTAAACAGGATACAGAGAAAGCAAGTCACAAAAAGCCTCAAGAACGATCGCGAAAATTTGTGGATCAACGCAGTCGATGAAGTGGAAGTAGCAGCTGCTTCCGGGAACCGTCAAAGACTGTCCAAAGTTATTCCCGACGCCGGTGGACGACGAACCCAGGTCAGTGAAACGACATACAGTAGAAATGGGGAGCCCATTCATGACAAAGGACAAAGGGTCGACCGTTGGGCCGAATACTTCAAGGAGCAGTTTAGCTGGGCACGCGCTAATGTAGTTACTTCTGTATAAAAAACTGCGATTCCTTGGGGAGCATCACTTGAGCTCCCATCGGAAATTGAAGTGGAGTCATCCATTCGATTACTAAGGCGTAGGAAAGCGGTCGGTCTCGACGAACTTTTTCCAGTTATTTTCAAAATGGCTGGTGGTGCGTTGATAAAATCACTCCCCACCTTGGTCCGTGACGTTTGGAAAGAGTAACGTATTCCGGGATTATGGGGCGAGTCACTGGTTGTACCCATCTTCAAGAAGAAATAATCAATGATTGCAGTAATCATCATGAAATCAGTTTAGTTCCGATAATCAAGGTAACGGTCTCAATTTTGTTGTGCCGTTTAACACCACCTCACGAGAAAAACGCCCACGAACAACAGGCCGGACTTCGCCCAGGTCGAGGGTGCATCGACCAGATTTTTACTCCTCGTCAATTACTCGAAACGCATCGTACATACTGCCGACCGACAATAATGGTTTTCCTCGACTTAAAAGACGCCTTCGATTCAGTTGACCGAACAGCGCTATTCAGTGCTCTTCACCAAAACGGTATGCCACAGAATTTCGTGAGTCTTCTGAGATCATTGTACTCTCATCTTTCTGACCGTGTAGTGATTTACGGTGAACTATCCAGTCTATTCGAAACAACCAGTGGTGTTCGACAAGGATGTTCCATTCCTCCATTCCTGTTCAACTTCGTCATGGATGAGATAATGGAGAATGCCTTGCAAAATCTTCAGGATGTCGACATCGAACCAGGAAACAGTGAAAAACTGCGTAACCTAAATTATGCTGACGACCTTGTTTACTTGTTCAAATGCACGGAACACGCGCAACGTGCACTCGATAGACTCGCAAGAGCTGTAGTTTCACTCGGCATGCACTTTGCACCTTCAAAGTGTACAGCAGTGTTGCAAGATTGAACGTCAACGGTTCCGAGCTTGATGCTCGACAGGTGCTGGCAGTTGTCGATCGCCTCACTTACCTCGGCAGCAGCGTGACGACGGGTGGGAGCACGCGTATATCCGAGGTTCTAGCTGCTTACGCTGGACTAAAGCACTTGTGGCGCCGATCTGATAGTTCGCTGAAGCTGAAAAGTCCTGTGTACTGTGCCGCGGTGCGTTTAGTCTCGTTGTATAGTTGCGAGACTTGGGGTCTGCGTGCGTAAGATGCTCGTCGCCTTGAGGTTTTCGACCACCGAAGTTTGCATAAAATCGCTGAGACTGGATGGAATGACCGAGTAAGCAATGTTGAGGTCATGAATCGAGTATTGGGTATCAGTTCAGAGAATGTTCTATCACTGCCTATCCAGCTTAGTAGACTTCGTTGGTTGGGGCACGTGTTGCGTATGACAAAACACACGTCTACCGTACCGTGCCCTGTTTTCCATTCCTCATCGGGAGTGGAGTGAATCACGTGGAGGTCAACAAATGACGTGACTACGGGGAATGAGAAAATGTACAGCGAACTAGGGGAAAGTAGGTTCTTCACGTCTTTGTGGTTGGGGTCCAAAAGATTCCTCAACCAGTTGGCTGGAAACACTGAGGGATATGGCAACCAACGGTGAACAGTGGCGATCGTGTTGTCACTTTCTGTCGATTCAGAATGATCGATCAATGTGCGTTTGTACAGTTAAACTGTATTTCATATGTTGGTTACTACGGCGTTCTTTTCTTTGCCTACCCTTGTAGGTCCACTCCCTGTCCATCTTGTCTATTCATTCTTTCAATTTCTACATGCAACATAGTGAGAAAGGCAGTGGTCAGTGGGGTTTGCCCTGCTATTTACTGCTATATGATGGTGATAATGTCCTCGTCGTCGTCGTCGCGTAAAACCCAGTTCGTCTTAAACGGATTGTTGGACTGATTTCTTCGGTGAAGTCCATTGCAGTTCCACTGGTACTTCTCCACCTTAGAACGTGGTGACCTGATGAGAGGCTATAGCGTCCGTGATCGCTTGACACTTTCTCGGTGATCCTAACGCTGCTGTGTTAGTCCGCTTAGGAACACGGTTTTGCGGTGATTCGCCAGGTGGATCTTGAAGCGTGCACGGACGAGGGAATGATCGGTGCCATTCTTTTTACCAGTCTCCGCGCCTCGTTTGGACCGACAATCTTCAGTCGAAGATGACCAGCGTGATCGTATGAGAATGTATTCGATCTGGTGCGCTGTTGCCGCCATTAGAGTACCACGTTAGCAAGTGCTTTCTGGCATGTTGGAAGCGGGTGTCCGCGACGGTTAGGCTGTTGAAGTCTGCAAGGCTTACGAGACTTTCCGCTTTGATGCATTACTGTATGAGACCATAATTTACCTAAATGTGTCTAGCTGCATGGGTAGAGGCAACAGTGCGGACGTTCCATCTTCCTCCCCCTGCCCGCAACAGGGCGAGCGTCACGTTTCGGGATGCTGTGTATGACCTCTTGTAGCCAATCGTGAAGCTCATCCTTTACTGCTTCTTCGGCCGCAACTGTCGAGCCATAGACCATGACAATCGACATAATCAGGGGTGAAGTGCAAAAACGAGCTAAAACGATCTGAAGGGATATCGAGTTCCATGCGATTAGTCTTTTTAGCCTTTTTGCTGGGAACTATGGCGACGCCGTGGAGACCACAGTTGGCTGTGGGCCCATTGTGGTAGAGGAAGTAACTGTCGTCTACTCCGAGAACCTTCATACACCAAATGCCAGAAAGCGGCAGCCGAACTTC